ATATAAAAGTTATATAAAAAATTGTCCCTATATTACTACCCATTTTTTAAATTAAGTATTTAACCTTAAACAAGGAAATGAGAATATTTCCCTCCCATTTTTTGAGCCACATGTTAGCTTAAGTGGGCCATATAGTGGCTTTCATGGCACCACACAATTAGAATTGGGAAGTTCCGTCAATGTGGTTAACGGAGTTGCATAGGGGTAGATGAAAATGAAACAATTTTGAAAGGTAGCAGCTGAGTTTGAAAGAAAACAAAGATTCTAGACTAAAATGAAAAAATAGTAATAGTTAATAGATGATTTTTTAAATTAATTCTCATGAAAAGGTCCAATGGATATTCTTCTAAGAAGGCTTCCATCTAATTGGAGGAACAAACCATAATCATCAACAGAAGTCTGAGTAAAAAGCTTTCGGGGAAGCTCCTTTCCCTCAAAAGTGAGCTGATTCTACTGCATAGTTTACCTACTAAATTGGCATCGCAAAAACGTGGGGTTGAGTTAAAATTCAGAAGAAAGATTAAGGAGTTGAGAAGAGTATTGATTATGTGTTGGTTGGGTTCAGAAAAAATGCAAAGACGATAGATGAAATGATATAGATATTGTTGGGGGATTACAACATCAATTCCAGCTGATACAATTTGGTACATGTGCTTGTTGAAGCTAATAAGACTTGGTATACCTTTTGTGATTTATGTTGTTCCTCGAACATTCTCTTTTATTTCCTCATCACGTCATTGTTGTGCCTCGGTCATAGAATCAAATAAAATAATAATTAGTGAACTTATCAAGAAATATTGATAAGAAAATATAATCAAAATAGGCATGAAAAGCTTTATTACTTTAAGGTGATTCACGTCTCTGTGGAGAGTAGATCAATTGGTGCAGCAGAGATATACATAGCATGTCGCCCTCAGAATGTTACAGTTTTATAATAACACTTTATAGATTTGCACTACCCATAAAGTCACTTTACTCAAAACACACTTCTTTACCCAAAATTATTTAGAAAATAAAGTAAGGTAAGAAAGAATAGAAGAATTTGGAGGAGCATCTTTTTTTTTTTTGAGCAAAAGACATGTCTAGTTTGACCTATAAATAGGACTCATGGTCTTGTAACTTCCATTTGTAAGTTAATGATAGAAATAAATTGGACAATTTTTATGAAATAATGTGCCTTATGTAGGGTAATTAACCTATAATGGCTAGTTTGACCAAGTCCTTAATGAGACAATAAATTTAATTAATAAAGTATATTATTTTATTTTTATTAAAATATTTAAGTTCAACAATTTATTGGTCAATTTGGTACATGAGACTCCATCATTTTCAAGTCTGCTACTTTGGATGTGAGGATGATGTTCTTAAGCTGGTTCAGAGGAGAGATCCTTTGCTTGGATTCGTGGTAAGTTGCTTATCATGAATGGTACCTAGGATGATGTTCTTGGCCTGTTTCCAGTAACTTGTATGAGATTCGGGTGATTTAATCTTGTCTGCTGCTCTTTTGTGTTTTGTGGCAATATATATGCTGGTATAGAATCCTTAGGAATTGACAGTTTTATTGTTATGGTGTATGTGGACTTCCATGATGAGCTCTGCTGTTTTGATCTGTTGTAATATGATCTGTAATTTCTGTTCATGTTCTTACACTTTTGTTTTGTATATTGGAGCACCCATGTTAATACATACTTTAATTCATCTAAAAAACCTTAATTTAAGTTATCTAAGCCCATAAAAATTAATCATTCTTTAATCTTCTTTCAATCCTTTTTCTCTCACAATGAACATTTAATTTGTAGATATATTTTAATAATGTTGTGATCCAAATGGACTATAAATTTTGTTTTCATTGTTCCGAAGTTCAATGCATCTAAATTTCTTCAATCATGTCACCTAGCTAGGGAATAAGTATTTATCTATATATGCTTTTCTTTGGGTATAGTTGCCAATTTTCTAGTATAAGTAGAACCATAAAGCATATAATTATTATCATTGACAATTATATAACCAACAACATTTTTTATTTTCTTTCCTATAAATTTGATCTATTGGAGAAGTTGTACTGACTTTTCTTTTGGATTCACCGACAAGCTTAATCTAAAAGCAATCTAGGATCTAAGTATATGATACTTAAAAAAGAGTGATGATAGCGAGAATAAAAATTTGGGATTAATAATGTAGTTTATATTATATTATTAAATTAATTGATATATATAATATTACAAGTCTCAAAAAATTAAAAAAAAATTAATTATCAAATAATATAGGATTCACATTTTAATATTTTAGACATTAGTTCTAAATTTTAGTCTCATTTATCATTATTCATTAGAAAAATGGATAATCTAATGGAATTTATTTTACAATCTCAATAATTACTCAATTTCTAGAAATAATCCTAACTGATTGCCACCGTAAAATTAAAATAATGGGAAAAGTATATAGGAAATCTACCCAAAAAAAAAAAAAATAGAGTTTATATGCTTAAAACGATATCATTTTAATAGTCCCATTAAAAATT